AACCGTCCCCTTTCCTGCCAGCCTTAAAATACCCTTTCACTTAGCCATATATCTCAGTGGTTACTGGGACCCACCAGGGATGGCGCCTACTACACCTACAGTGCTTGCCTCTGAGTTGTGGTACTCTAAGCACACTACTGGCACCTTAGGGGTTTAGTGTACTGAGCAACCACAGTAATTACAACTCTCCTGGCATCTCAGTGGTTCATTTTTCACAGGAGCATCAGGCTCCTTTTTTACTGTGAGCCAAGAGGGAAAACACTAGTGAACGTGGGAGCTTGTTTGGAGAGGTTCTTCACCAGAACGTCTTGATATTCTTTAGACAAGCTTCTGCCATCCTTACCCATGTTGGGTGGCATCCTACACCACGTGTAGTCCCACTGAAATTCCTGAAATAACTTTCATAGTAAGATAGGCTGGGCCACTGTTTAGGATAACACACTGGGACTCAGAAAACACCAATTCAATTCTCTGCTCTGTCACATGCTTTCTGTGTGACGTTGAGCAAGTCATTTGGGGTACACCCACATTAGTAAAAAAGGTTTTATAACCACGTTAGCCAACATGCCATAAAATCCCAGTGTGAACAAGACCATTGTAGCTTTAACACGTTAGCACATTGAGGTAAACACTAGGTGGAGCCTAGTATAGTAGAACCTCAGATTTACGAATACCAGAGTTGCAAACTGACCGGTCAACCACGTACCTCATTTGGAACCAGAAGTACGCAATCAGACAGCAGCAGAGACCAAAACATAAATATAAAAATAAAAGCAAATACAGTGCAATCCTGTGTTAAACATAAACTACTTAAAAAAAAAGAAAGAAAAGGAAAGTTTTTAAAAAAAGATTTGACAAGGTAAGGAAACTGTTTCTGTGCTTGTTTCATTTAAATTAAGATAGTTAAAAGCAGCATTTTTCTTCTGTGCAGTAACATTTCAAAGCTGTATTAAGTCAATATTCAGTTGTAAACTTTTGAAAGAACCACCATAATGTTTTGTTCAGTGTTACAACCATTTCAGAGTTACGAACAACCTCCATTCCCGAGGTGTCCATAACTCTGAGGTTCTATTGTATTTCTCTTGACCTGTTAATGTGTTAAAACCACAACTGCCTTGTCCATGCTAGGATGTTACCATGTATTGATTACCACATGTTAGCTAACACATGATTTTAAAAAAGGTACCTTCTTTCCTTGAAGGCCTTAGTCTCACTCTGCCTCAGTTCCCCATCTTAAAAATGGGATAATACATTCTTACCATATGGGGGGGGGGGGGGAGGAGGGGCAGTGAGAATAAAATCCATTGACAATTTAGGGTGCTCAGATACTGTGAAAAGGAGCTCAACGGTACTGCTCCATATAAAGGAGGCACAATCTGTCCCACAATGCCCAATGATGCAGGATATGGAACAATTCTAGGATGCTTCTGAGTGCCCTCAACTCTCATTGACTCCAATATATTGGGTCTTTAGAATGTTTCCATAGGACTACTTGCAGAGTAAGATACTGCTCAAACTGTCCCTATGTAATTTCGATCGCAGCTCCTACTGGCCGCGGTTCGCCGCTCCAGGCCAATGGGGGCTGCAGGAAGGGTGGCCAGCACGTCCCTCGGCCCACGCTGCTTCCCACAGCCCCCATTGGCCCCCAGTGGGAGCCACGATCGGCCGAACCTGCGGACGCGGCAGGTAAACAAACCGGCCCGGCCCGCCAGGGGCTTTCCCTGAACAAGCGGCAGCCCTAGTTTGAGAACCACTGCCATAGAGCTTAATCCAGGAGACAATATCTGTGGAATTCTGGGAGGGATTTCTTCCCCTGCTCCAGTCCCTACATGCTGCTCTGGCAATGAGTAGGGGCTGCAAACAGCCCACAAGGGGCTGAGGGAAAACTCCCCAAGAGCAGGCACTGAGTTGGGTCATGGCACATACTGTTCAGGCCATTCTGACTTGCACCTCAAGCAATAGGCACAAAGAGTGGGCAGCAGGTTAGGAGCCTCCAGGGCTGTCTAAGTTACACTGAGGGCCATTTCAGCCCCTGCAGCAGCCCAAAGCCACCTTTGTTCCCCCTTGCCCTGGGCTGTGTCTCTTGGAGACCCGTACAGAATCTGATCTTCTGTCTCCAGCTGTCATCTCTCACCGCTCATATGGATCCTTCAGATGTCCCTCCTGTAGCAGTGCTATGCAGCAGGTGGCCTCTGAGCATATGCCCTTCCCTTAACTTCCTCTAACACCATCTGGGTGTTAGCTCTCTAAAACTGTCAGTGAGGTGTAGGAAGACCACCCATCCCTGATTGGGCAGGACAGTCCCCAAATGTACATTTCAAGTCCCAGTTCAAATGACCCCAGGTCAGCATTTGTCCCAGATTCCCTGTGGCTCCACTCCATGCCTGCCCGAGGCGGTGCCAGTCTCTTCCTGGTGGTGGGCCTGAGGTGGGCCTTAGTCCCCTCTTGCCATGAGGCCGCACCCCATGCTCCTCCTCTTCCCCCCTGAGGCCCCACCCCTGGCCGGGCCAGAAGCTGGGCAGTAGTAAGAGCCACCCAGGGAGTCTGGGCCGCTGTGGGGAGCCTTGGACCCTGCACCTGCCTTGGGTGGCACAGACATGGGAGAGAGCAGGGACATGGGCTGTGGGCTGTTCTTGGACAACCCGGCACCCCACCCAGGGCAGGTGGAGGGTCCGAGGCTCCCCACAGCAACCTGGGCTCCCTGGGCGGCTATTACCACTGCCTGGCTCTGGCTTGGCCAGGGGGGCAAGGCCTCCAGGTGAAGAAGGGGGGGAGGGGCAGGGCCATGGAGGGAGAGGGGGGTTCCTGCATTTGTCCTGTTCTTACATTTTGAAATGGCAGTCACCCTAGTGAGGTGTGAGTTAAATGGTGGCCAGATATGCAAGTGGAACTCACTCTGTTAGGCCACTGAAGACACTTCATCAGGTAACTGGACTCTGGCTGTCCATTCTGCACATTAAGAGGGCTGAGGTTTGAAGTGGGACCTTGGTGATCTGTTGGCAGCTCAACACTACCAGGCAGCTCCCCTTCGGGCAAGTCTGTAGGAGCTGTGCTAAACTTGTCTCAGCTGGAAGTTGCCCTTTGCAGCTTTTACACTCAGCTATGCTGATCAGTGCCATGGGGCGTTAATTGGAGTATTCAATGTTAAATACTTCCATAAAGTATTTTGAGTTTTCACAGCTGCGTGGGACATCAACAAGGCTAGTGGGTGCAGAGTTCTGGCCTCTGATAACTGAGGTTCTCTGGGTCTGTGAATCAATATTTCAGTTTAAGGAATCATGATTACTACCTCTGTCTTTCGCCAATAGAACTTTGACGTGCTAGAGATGGTTCTTGGGAACTTTTATTAAAATTTTGCCACCAAACTGAAGGGATGGCTTTCCTGCCTTTGATGGAGTCAACCCCTCCCACTATTACTGCCAGAGAACTTTTCCTCTTGGGATTCTGCTGAAGGTTTAAAAAAAAAAAATCCAAACATGCAGCCTCTGGAATGAATCTGATTGCACCTCACGTCAGTCTGTTCTAAGTATTTTCCAGGGTAGGATATGTCCCCCATCTCCTCCCACACCATTTCAAGTTACACAGATCAAACACAACTGAACTATCAATGTACTGAGTAAGAAGCCTGAGCCTGAAATGAAAACCTTTGCTCAGTTGAATGTTCCTTACTTACACTACTCATTACTCTATTTGCATGAGAAAGAACTACTCATTTGAGTAAGGGTTTTCATACTCAGATCCTATTTCAGGTATAGTCACTTCCAATAAGTGCAATCACTATAAGTTTATTTGTCCAGTGGTGCTGCCCCCTGCCCCTTTCCCCTTGGATACAGAGTTTCTCCAGTCCTGCCCTTCCACTCTGCAAAGACATGCAAATACATGTGGCGTTTATCAGAGGCAGAGAGGGAACATTTCTGTGGGAGTCCCTTTGTTAAATTGGCACACACTATTGGAAAGAGACATGGGAGAATTACTTAATTTTGTGCACAGGGAGGCACTAATGGACCAAAAATGAATCTGTGACCTGCCCAACTTTATTGCTAATTATCTTGACTGGGTGTTGAAGCCATTTCTCCCACCTCCTGTGGCTTTTGTGACTCTTTTGTAGTGAACAGAATCTATATAAAGCAACTAAAGGTCCATTGATGACTCAATAAGTCTTCACAACATTTTAAATGAGTTACAAGAGAATGTGTAGAGTGAAGGTGCAATATAATGGAATACATAATTATTATTTTCCTCCAGGATATAAACTAATCAGCCACTCCTGTTCTGCTTTTTCATTGTGCTAGTGAGCTTGTGCAAATTCAATCCAGGCACTTATTTAGAGAGAATGGAATATTTTCTGCAGGCTGAGAAATCAATAACTGAGACTTCTCTGTAGATCTTTGTGCACAGTGAAAAAATCAATAGCTTCCTTAATCTTTGTAAACTACCATACAAAAACTTGCAAAATGCTCTTTTATGAGTATTTCAGCATCCTACCTACCACAATAATTTGGCCTGTGCTTTGCTCAGTCACAATGGTTGCAGGCACTGAGAGCTCTGACTCAACTTAAAGAGAGAGCTTAATAATGCATCTAATAGTGCTTGAAATTCTGTTATGCCACATTGCCTTTTGATGAGAGATGCAGTAGCAGCACAAGCAAACTGAAGGTGTAGCTATAGTGAGAAAAGTGACTCTCAAAATGGCAATATCTTACTAAACAGAATTGCTCTCGTCTGTATTTAATGTAACTTAAATGGCTAAAATCAATTTTTATTCCTTCTGGCACTGCAGAGACCATATAATTGGCGGAGTAAGCTGGATTCACTGTATTGCTGGCGTTCCAGATCCCCAGTGATCAATAGCAACTCTCTACTCTCTTAGCCAACAAGTTGGAACAGTGGCTTATAAAGAGCCATATCTGTCAAAAATAGGGACCTGAGTAGCTGATTTGTGTGTCAGATGCAAGTTGAATTTTAATATCAGCAATAATGGTAAATAACTAGATGTTCACCTTGCATTCAAATTCTTCTCCTTGTTTCACGTCCCAGGGATACCCATCAATCAGAAATCCCTTTGTGTCTCCTAAACGGGCAATCATGGCCTCCTTCAGTAGCGCCAAAACAATATCCTGTATTGAAGAAAAAGAATTCTTTGGTTACTAATAAATATTCCTTTAAAGGGCTCAGTTTTTACACATGGACTTTAATCCTATGTCTTCATGAACTACCATAACTCTGCTTTGCTTCGAGCAGGTCCCTTGAAAGCTGGCTTTTTTTTTTTTCTAGCTGCCCAGGGAGAGGGTAGTTTGCTATAGGGGAGGAATAGCTTTCCCTCAGAAACAGCTATGTCACGCAAACCCAGAACCAGGGTCAGAACAAAACCTGTTCTGGATTTTCCAGGATCTTTCCTGTTGTGATGTGCTGTTGTTGTGGGACATATCTGAGTCTCAAAATCTATCTGGGGACTGTGACAGACTGACACTGTCCTGTAATAGCCTGAACAAACCTTATGGAATTAAGATAAACTTTACTGAAGTAAGTTAAACTGTACTGAATTAATACATTTGGAGTACAGTATATTAAAATGCAGTTGTGTATGTATTACTATGGCACCCTATCCACCTTCTCAAGTTGGGAGGGGAATGCTAATGTAATTCCTCCATTATCAGCCCTTTGACATCCCTCTGCCCCAAGGTCTGTATATACTAGTTCAAACCAGATTCTCCAGGAACCAACAAGCAAAGAAATGGGTTTTGGATAACTAGCCTGGTTTTAAACTGGCTGATGGCCTTCCTCCTGATCCTGCAAATGGACTGGAGCCCTAGTCCATGAGGACCCCAATTATTAGCATAGGGTTGAAAGGACTGGACCTACTGAGGTCCCATAAAACTGGGTGCTTGTTCTGAGCTGAAGCTGTGATGAACTGGTAACCACAAAGAATCCCCTTGGGAGGGGAGTGGAAGAACTGCTCGTGTCAGAATCCATGTTAGGGTTAATTCTGGTAAGCTTATTAGCATGTGTGTGGGTTCTTTTATTGTTTTTACATGTTTTCTCTGTAGTGTTTTTACCCTAAGAATAAAGCAGGCTTGCATAGGAAGTGCTGTGTGGTAACTTATAACTGTAGCAATTACACCTAACCATCTCTGATGAGAAAGCAAGCAGGTGTTGGTGAGCAACCTGTCTGTGCTGGAAAGAACACAATGAAGGCAGGAAGCTGTGCAGCCTGGAAATACCCCAGTCAAAAGGGAAAGAGACACTGGTCCCCATCCAGAAAGGCAACAACTGAGGAGCTGGAAACCTGAGAGTGCCCTTGCTCGGTCAGGTGCAGGTGCCCTGAACTGTGTGGACCATGAAACTTTATGACATTATAATGATACTTCACAATCTGATTGTATTTTGACACAGCATCACATTGTGTCAATGCAATGTCATGGTATCTTGTTGTAAATGACAAAGGAGTTTGTCCCACCAGACAAACTGGGGAAGATAACAACACTAAGCTAGACCCAGTACTCCTTTTAATTTCCTATGGGTGGCATTTCTTGATGCCTTTTATTAACACACACATCTCTTGATCTAACTGCACTTGCTGCACATCATATTGTCCCTGATTCTGGCCTGCAGCCTGGCCCCTTTATGCTGCTCAGATGCTGTAAAGTGCAGGGACCTCTCCCGCCCCTCCGCCCCACATCTGGAAATTATTGTAGTTCAGAGGGATTTCCTGGCCAGAGACTGAAATAACAGCCCCTACACCTCTTCACATTCCCCGTCAGTTGGCGCTCAGCTATTCTGGGCTGCCAGCCAGTTCCTTGGGGAGCCATTGCAGTTAATGTAAATTAAAATAGCTGCTAGGGATGCTCCAATTTACACTGAAGGCCATGCCAGCTCTGGGACCAGCCCAGAATTTGGAAGCTGTAAAAGTGGCATAAAGTTCCCTTTGCTGCTACTTCTGTGTTGCATCTTTTGCAAGGTGTAGCTTGCAATCTGGCCCATTGTGTTTAATAATTAATCTACCATAAGGAATTTACGGGTATGGTGTGAGAAGGGATAACTACGTCACCAGTATACAAAAGAAAGAGAAATGCCACATATCTGGGAATTAGGGATCCTCTCTACCAAGCTCTAGGCTTACTTCCCCTCAGATGGGAATACATACCAGTGCTGCTTTCCTATTTCCACACTTTTTGAGGGACACCCACTGCCCCCTTTATTTTGCAAATGAAACTGCAGCTTACTCCAGGCACCAGTTCGCCACATTCCATGATGTCTTTGATCAGTTTGCTCCTCTCTGATGATGATGTTAATTCACGTCGGAGGAGGTCACCAGTAGACAGATGTGTAAATCCATATTTCTGTGCTAATTGTTCACACTGGGTTCCTTTGCCAGAGCCAGGGCCACCTTCATGAGGGGGGGAAAAATCTAGAGTTAGAAACAGAAATTGCGGGGAGCTAAACAATTGGCCTTTTTATTAATCACTGCAGTTGGGAAAATGTAATGAAAATAACATGACTTCTTGTACTGACTGGGCGTTCAAGTACATAGTTATTTAAAGCATTCTGTGCAGAAACTGCCTCGTAACATACTACCATTAAGTAACACTGCTGAGAAGAGAGCAAGCCCCTAAATTGAGGATTTTAGCTCTAAAATAAGTTGTTCCTTTTTCTCTTCATTATGTGGTAACTATTTGGGGAACAGAAATCAGTGTAACAGATTCTCCTTTCACACTGATTTCACACTGGTGTACCAGTGGAGGCCCTTGGAATAAGCAATGTAACTTAATGGCAGTAAATTACCAGGCAGATACTGCATAGAATTTCTTAGCTAATTAACTGTGACCTGAAGGCCAACCCACTACAAGAAGTGATGGTATTTTCTTGTACAGAGATGCATCAATAGATAGCAGAAGATTCTGCTCGCCCCTTCCCCAGGGGGAGCCAGTTTCTTTTGTGGTTTGTCCATTCCAGTGGCTGACAGATTAAACTGGAAGCTTTGTTCATTCTCCTCAGTGCTGGGAGATACTGGTTTGTTCTCCAGAGGCAAATCATGAGAGTTTAAAGAAAGCCAGAAATAAATTGTGTTTTGTGGTCTGTCTTTTGATTTTTGAACTCTTCCTGCCCATCGCTGATGTGTGAGTGACAATTAGTACTGTCCATTAGTACTTGCTCCTGCTGCAGCATTTTTCACTCCCACATCAACCAGACCCCTGCCCAGCACTTAATTCCCAGCTTCCCCTTTCCCCCACATCTGCCCAGGCCCCCCAGCCTCATCACTGCTCCTTCCCTGGCTGGGCATTGCAGGGAAGTTGCTCACAGGAGAGGAAGGCTGCTGGCCTCTTCCTGCTCCTTCCTCCCCTCTCTCTTTCTGTGAGAAACTGAGAATAGCTTTGGGAGCTGAGGGTGTGGGGAGGGAGCTCTTTCTGCAGTAGCTTTAATTGCTTGCTCTACCCCAGGAGGCAGGGCAGGGGGCAGACAGCCAGTCAGAGGGGGATTTCCCGCAGGCAGAGCTCAAGTTTGTTAGAGCACTGGAGCCTCTCAGGCCATCAGGAGAAAGGCTCCAGCCCAGCCCAGCCAGAATCCCATCACGCATGGAAAAACTGTGAGAGCTGGCCACCAGAGTGCAGTGCCAGCCTTGGGGCACCAGGACTTTAGCCCTTCTGGAGTCAGTCTCACTAGACGCTCCAGCCTTAAAATTGTTTTCATCCCTGCCTGGGGAAAACCCTATCTGAGCATCAGGCTCCCCCAGGACCTGCCTCCTGGGAAAGAGCAGCCAATCAGGGCTGCTGCAGGAAGCAGGCAGAGCTCCCCTTTCCCCCCCCCCCCATCCTCTCAGGAGCTGAGAGACATTTCTGGGTTGGCAAGGCGAGGAGAGGGAGCAGCCACTGCCATTGTCACGAGAAGGGAGGAAGGAGGAAGAAGCAGAAAGGAACCAGTGGCTCAGGACAGCTCTGCTTTCCCCTTCCCACCTGTGAATAATGGGTCAGTCTGCTCCTCCCTCACCTCTCCATCCCTGCAACACTAGCCTGAGAAGGGGGCGAAGGGACAAAGAACATTGGGAGCTGCCTCCCACCAGCCTGGGAAGGGGGTGAGGGGATGAAGAACCCCTGGAGCTGCCCCTCACCAGCCTGGGAGGTGGGTGAAGAACTCCTGGAGCTGCAGGAAGAGCAGAGGGGTGTGTATGTGGTGGGGAGGGGTAGAGGCCTATATGAAGCTAGGAAGGGGGCAGAGTTGATGTGTGTGTGTGTGTGAAGGGGGGAGTGGGTAGGATGAATTTAATTGCCAGCCTGTGGGATGGGCAGATATGGGTCTGGGGTGGCAGAACTGCTCAATTAGAATATTTGGGTTTGGGGAGAAGCTGGAAGCTCAGCAGCACCATTACCAGGCAGCATTTTATACAAGCCTGTGTAACTGGACCTCAGCTGGGTCTTCCAGGGTGAGAGCATCTGCAGTAGGCACCAAAAAATCACCTTACTCTGTACATTTGGGTGAGCTAGTAACACTCTCATTGTTGCACATGGGGGCAAGGGAGAGTTCAAAAATCAAGACAGCCCAAAACCACAGTATAAGCGTTAAAAGTAAACCTTATGATTTGGGTGTCTGACTCATGGTTTTTGAACGTTTGAGGTTGGCAATCAACGCTGTCAACTCTTTAATATCCAAATACTATGCATACTACTCCACTATGTGACTGAGTCCAAGATTCATCAATTTTTCTTTCTTGATTGCTTTAGTGAACAAATATGGGCTGACACACTCATGAATTTAGCCATCAATCCCCTTCAGGCACAAAAGTATCCATGTTCCAGGCCTTCACATTGAGTTGTAAGAAAATGCTGCCCCAAACAGATATCGTTCAGTGGCATTACAGTGGTGTAACTGAGAACAGAAATTTGGCCAGAATGTAACAGTGACAAAAGAATGCATTTGTCTTGTATAAACGCAGTGCCTTTTATTGGAGAGTCACAATGAACACTGTTAACATACAATGAAAGCATCAGGCACTGCATCTTCACTGGGAATGTTTTTGGGGAAAGGGTTACTCTTTGGGATAACCTCATTTTCTTCCCTTTAGAAAGATAGGTGTCCGGATGCCTTGTGTGAGGTGGCACTGTGCAGGCCCAAAGGCAGAAATGTAAGCATCTAGGAAATTTTTACTGCAAAAACTTAGGTGCTGCGTGAGTCTAGGCACATACAGGGTTAGGCAATTCATAGGTGCCTAACTCTATAGGTGCTCTAGGGCTGGAGCACCCACCGGGAAAAAATGGTGGGTTCTGAGCACCCACCGGCAGCCCCCCTATCCGCTCCCCTCAATCCCCCCAGTGGTGAGCCCCACGGATGAGCATCTCCCCTTCCTCCCCACACGCCTGCCTGCCATAATCAGATGTTTCACGGCATGCAAGGAGGAGGCTGGGAGGGAGGGGGGAGGAGTGAGGACACAGCACGCATGCAAGCAGGAGGCTGGGAGGGAGGGGCGGAACTGGTCAGGAAGAGGTGGGGCGGGGGGGTGGGAAGAGGCAGGGCAGGGTGGGACATTGGGGGATAGGGTGGAGTGGGTGCAAGGCCTGGGGCAGAGCCAGGGGGCGAGCACCCCCTGGCACTTTAGAAAGTTGGCACTTGTGGGGCAGCTGCTGAGTAGGGATTACAGTAGTCTAAAACTGGGATTAAGGCAACTCAGTACCTTTGTGGATCCAGGCCTAGGTATCTGGGTACCAGCTACAGATGAGAGTTCAGTGGTAAATATGAGCCAGCTAGCCCCACAGAGTCCTGCCCAGTGCATTAGTCACAGTAGCCTCACCTCCTCACTCCACATGGGGAGGAGCCTCACAGCCTCCTGATTTCATATTCACTCAGCTTTCCCCCTCATATGTTGTATCACCCTTGTCTGTTCATTTCCCCTCCCACTCCAGACCTCTGCAGCCCTTCAGCTGCCTTACCTCACCCCCCCAGCTCACTGTGCTTTCTCCAGCTCATTCTTCCCGCCTCCCATTTTTACACGGCTCCCCCTCAGTTTTCCGCTCCTTTTACCAACTCCTCTCTTACACCAACAATCCTTCCCTCAACCCAGAGTGCCCCCAAACAAAGTTTAAAAATATAAATAAAACAGTTATGTAAACAAATATGAAAAAGACCAGCCCTGGCATTAATGTGCCATGTGACTGCCATCATCTCGAGCACGTTGCTTGTTCATTACATCCTCTCTCTCCGTCCTTCCTCTGTTTTTGCCTTTTTAGACTGCAAGCATATACCAAATTCCTGAAACTCACTCTAACGCAAAACCTTAACACCAGCCTCATACTTTCTTTAGGCACATATAGCATGTACCAGCAGACACGTACATCCCTACGGCCACAGTAATGGTGTTGAGGCTGGCATTCAGGTTTTGCATTAGAGTGTGAATTTCAGGAATTTGACGTGTATGGTGTGTTTCTGTCTGTGAGGGAAGCTGAAGGGAGCTAGCAGTGCTGGAAGCCTGGCATTTGTTAGTGTGATTGGCTAAGAGATGTCTTGGTGGGAAGGTATGTGAAAGAAGGTTCCCTTAATGAAACTTCTCCTTGCTTTTCACGGAGTGCACTGATGAGATTGGCATTTAAGTAATCTTAACTGTAAATCAACAGTATTTTGTGCAGCAAAAACACTGTTGCAAAATGTGTCTTTTTCAATGTCTTGTTACATCAATGTAGCATTCTAAAACAGAAGAAAGTGCACTCTCCACAGTGCTTGACACCTGCCAAATAAAGATACTAGATTTATAAAGCTGCACATTAAACAACAGTTAGATACTTGCAGCTAGAAACCTTCAGGTACGGAGCTTCCATTGCAATTTCTTTCACATTATTTTTCAAACAGAACAGAGCAAAGATCCTGAAATAATCAGTTAACAGTCTTCACAATGGCCCAGTAGTTATGCCATGTTTTGAAGTAGGAACATGTGCCCTTGCTTTTGTAATAAAGGCGTAAAACACTGTTGAATACTATCAATTTGTGTATGCTGTCATTTTTTGCTCCACCTACATGTTTTTGGAAGATGGCTGAGTGTTAACCAGCAACAGAATGATCATTGGCAACTGGCTGTTCATCTTGCAATATTAATCTCATCCTTTCTGATTTAATCTCATCCTTTCTGATTTTAAATATATCATGACCATAAAGAGGTAAACTCTAAGGGTATGTGTCTACACTACCTGCCGGATCGGGCGGGCAGCGATTGATCCAGCGGGGATCGATTTATCGTGTCTAGTCTAGACACGATAAATCGATCCCCGAGCGCTCGCCCGTCGACTTCTGTACTCCTGCACCACGAGAAGCGCAGGCAGAGTCGAAGGGAAGTGGCAGCAGTCGACTCACCGCGGTGAAGAAACCACGGTAAGTTGATCTAAGTATGTTGACTTCAGCTATGTTATT